TGAAATTTTTTATTTTTTTTTATTTTTAAAAAAAAAATTCACCAAATTTCATATTTTCCCGAAATCTGACTTTTTTTATTTTCTGGAAATTTTTATGAATTTTTCTAGAATTTTTCAATTTTTATGCATTTTCTGAAAAAAAAAATTTGTGAGAAAATATGGAGAATGCATTCCGGAATCAAGAAGCTACAAAAAGTAGCTTATCTTTTTCTTGCCAAACACTCATTCTGGAATAAAAAATGCATTCTGGAATCTAGAATGTATTCTGGAATCAAGTATTTTTAACAAACGCATTTTTATTCCAGAATGCAAAAATTGCTCCAGAATGCATTCCGGAATTTTTTTAACAAAGGCCATTATGTTCCGGAATTTATTCCGGAATGCATTCCATGCGCACCCTTATAACAATTTTACCCTTTGTTAGTTTCCGTTAAATTTTACCGTCAAATTTCTAAGTTGGATGACACTTGGCAGTTGACTGGTATACTAGTTTGAAATTTCACCCTCCGTTTGTCACAAGTGTATAAATTTATGATTTTTCATGATATTAATCCATTTTTTTATATTAATCCAATTTAACAGAGGGTAAATTTGTCACAAATGTACAAGTTTAGGGTTTTTAGTGATCAACAAATTAGTTTGGGGTAAATTTATCACAAGTGTATCAATTTGGGATTTTTTGTAGTAAAAAAATTAGCTGTGAGTAAATTTGTCACAGATGTACCAATTTAAAATTTTTCGTGATATTAACCCTAGAAAATAACGGATTCAAAATACGAAATCCCTTTTAGGAGACCTACTCAAATTATGAAGTCACTCAACTAAGAAATCTACTTGGATTGATACCTTTACGGGTTTAAACTCAACACACATCTTCAACAATAATGGCATACATGCAATCAAGGAATCTAAGGGTTCATTTATTTTGTGAAAACTGTACCATTTCTGGAAAATACTTTCCAAGAATTCAATTTCCAAGAAAATCACTTTATTTTCCGGTTTTTGGTTAAAACCTAAAAAACACCTGGAAAGTATTTTCAGTCATTTGGTAAGAAAAATCTAATGGGGGAAATTATCAAAAAAATAATTTTTTTTAAAATTAATTATATATATATTTTTTCCTTTTTTCCTTTTCTTCTTCCTTGGCCGGTCGCCAACCACGGCTATAGGGCCAACGACCATCCATAGGCGAGCGCAAGCCTCGCCCAAGGTCGGTAAGACTCGAGCTTGCCAGCTCCCGGCAAGCTCGAGGCTCGTCGCCAAAGGCTGAGCCTGGCGAGCTCGTCAGCAATCGCTATGGTTGGCGATCAATCAAGGAAGAAGCCAAAAGAAAAAGGAAGAAAAGAAAAAATAGAAAAGAAAAGAAAGAAAAAAGATAATAAAATAAAATTTTAAAATAATAAAAAAATTTGATTTTTTAAGAAATAAAAAAAGTAAAATCCGATTTTTTTTAAAATTCTTTTATTAGAACGAACATTTCATTAAGTAAGGATCCGAGACCGAGCGTCGAGAACTTCCGCACGGCCTTTGTGGACCTAGGCATGAGGGTTTGGACCAGAGCTCAAGCGTCGAGAACTCGAGCACGGTCTTTATGGACCCGAGTTTGGGTGTTGAAGCATCAAGTACGGGCACCGGGGGTTTAGGCTCGGACACCAAGGTCCCAGGCCCGGCCTCGATAAACTCGGGCTTGGCCCCTAGAGACCTGGTCTTGAATGTCGAGACCCATGAATCAATGTTGGGGTTTTTTTTCCCAAAGGTAGAGTTTCGGATTCAAACGTTGATAGCTAGTCATATTTCGAAAAATGTTTTCCGATTCTTTCAAAGAGGAAATAATTTTCCTCATTTTAAGTTTTGGTAGTAAAATCTTTTCCGTAATTAGGAAAATATTTTCCGTTGACTCATTTTTCTTTACAAACCAAGTGCCAACAAATGATTTTTACTAAACAAATGGACCCTAAACCTACCTTGAACACAATTAGGAGGGTTGAATTAGATACATGATATATGCAATTAGTTGTTTTCGATAAAGCTCATAGATTTATTTTTGTACCCAATAAGAAGAAAAATAAATGTGAAGATACTGATTGTGGTAGTGATCTATTAGCCCAAAAACCTAGGCATGGGTGATGCGACAAAAGATATCTACAACACCTAATGTTTCAGCCTTTGCCCGGACACCAATAATGGCAACTCCATCGAGCAAACCGCTATTAGGAGATTGTCGCCCCTGCCTCTCTAATTGTGCCCCAGCCAAGCCCTAAACGACTTTAAAATGCGTCCAGCTAATTTTCAAAGATGCACAAATTCTCTCTGTCTAAGCATCAATTTAAACACGAGTTATGTAAGATTAGGAATATAGATAATGCCCATGACACTACCTAATTCTTAGACTCTGGTTTTCAGATAATAGCTCTGTATATCTCTATAAATGTCCATGAGGGATAGGATTAAATATTTGAAAGCACAAGCACAACACACCAAATAGATAGGGTAAGTCTACGGTTCCCATTAGGCATCGTGCTTCTACAAATCTTCAACATTCGATCGAAAAGCAAAAAATTACAACTCTACGTCCAAGTTGAGATCTGTTAAACGACAATGATTTGCTATATCTTAATCCAGAGGTAAAAGATTGTGAGGGCCGTGTCATGTGGGGATTATAGCCTAATCCATATATAGAGAAGAAAGGCTGAAGAAGTTGGAAATGTGCATTCATTCTCTTTTGGAAGGTGAGCTTATGTTGTGCCTCCATAGAATTTCATATCATTAGATGGAAAAGTAAAAAATCACAATCATTCAAGCTTAGATCTATCGAACGGCTGAAATGCTTTGCATACAATTTGGGAATGTGCATTCATTCTCTTCTGGAAGGTGCAAGAACAGAGGAAAAGAGGCATATCATATGACCATGTGCACCTTAAAAACCTGTGTCAGACCAGGCTGCAGGCAGAGCACCCTTTAGCAGACCTCGCTGGCTGGTGGGCTGCTGCAAACAAGAGAAGAGACACGAGACACCCCTTCTCTCCCCCCACTTTAAAATCCCCCCCAATACCAGACAAAATCCAACCAACCGTCCTTAACTTCCCCTTACACAAGCCAGGTTCTTCGTAGAAACCCCCTATTCCTTTGCCTCAGTTTCCATCTTTATTCACCTGTTACATCTCTCCCCTCTATCTCTCTGTGGATAGAGATTTATTGCACAATTGACATTCGAGTTGTTCATATTCTGTGAGTCTACAGCTAGACTTAGACTTTATATTGTCCTGAAACAGAGTTTCCTACCCATGATGGACAAGACAAAAAACTCTTATGGTCATACCACCAGTGGACCGGAAGTAAACAAAAAGAACTTAGTTGTCTCCGATATGTACACTCGAATCTATTTGCACCTTTTACTTATAATTAGTTTATGTATGCGAATTACAGTGGGCTGGAAATTGGCATACTCCTTAGTCATTTTTCTGTACTAAGGCACGTCTTCACATGCTGTGTAAATGAAATTCACGAGTGTCTATAAGCCTACGCAGAAGAACTTAAATGTCCAGCAAGTGGGTTCTCTGTCTCTCTCGGAACCCACACGTAGGAAACTAAGTCCCCAATACCTCAAGAACCACGTCAAGAGCATCGAAAGCAATCTGAGCAAGTTTCACATCCACGAATGGACAAAACTTTTATGGGGTAACATAAATTCCTTCCCATGCACAGCAATGTCTCGCTTTCGTTCCCTGCAATGCGAGCGTGACAGAGACACCCGTAAAGTCGAGACTTGGGTCGGTGGATGGTTTCTTCCCATTTTCCAAATCAAGAAAAAAAAGTCGAAAAAACAAACAGCCCCACTTTGAGATCGCCGTGTATTCTGGAGGAACCGTCGGTATCACAAGGTCGTCCCCACAGAGACTCTCTCTCTCTCTCTCTCTCTCTCTCTCTCTCTCTCTCTCTCTCCCCACAGTGTCTGTACGTAATAACGTTACTATAATTACAAGCCAAGCTCTAGGGTTTTCGAAATTGATTTATTTAATTTCAGGATATATATATTGGCAGGGTTGTAGGTTGGTCGTCGAGAGTGTGTAATAGTAGCTACATGGCAAAAGTAATTGCAAGGAAATAAAAAATAAACACGGGACGCATAGGTAGTGGCCGCGATGTGTAATAATTAACGTGGTTCTCTTTGGCTGTATGATTAATTGCGGATACAAATTCATTTGTATAATAATATAAATATCTTGTCTTGAATACTTAGTCAACTGAGCTGATTCTCCGGAGTTGGTGGCTTTGCTTGGAGTCGAGAGAGAAGAGGCCACACATGTTTTTGGAATTATTTGGGAGTTGGAACCCAATCTTGTCCGTATTTTGTTAATGATGGGACAATAATAAACGAAGGTGAAAAGGGAATACACGTTGTGGTGTGTTTATCTTCTAGCTATTAGTCTTGTATGGGGCATCATTATATCTTGATTCCATTCAAGTTCCCAAAGCCAAGTCCTTCTATATGATCTGAAGATGACAAGATGAAAATCATTGTGTAAACATGCTGATCATGTCCATCTGTCTTCTATATGTTCCGACTGTGAAGAGCAATCCTCTGTACTTGTGTCAAGTTGGGTTTTGTGGAGATATGTTATAGGATTAATAATAACTAGATAAGAGGGGTGTGATTGGTTTTTTGCAATTATCATTGTAAGATCTGTAGTTAGATCCACTGACATCGATCTCTCGATGAAACTTTATTTCCCAGATACCATGTAAGGCAAGAGTGCGAGCTAATACGCGAGTTAGAAGAAAGCTAAACTCAACAGCGTAATGAGCGCAAATTTACTTCTTGAGAGATTAATAGATCTTTCTTGGAATGACTAAATTGAGAATCAATCAATATTCCCAAAGAAAGGAGGCTTTTGCCCAACAACTATTAGTTTGAACGCATTAAAAAAAAAGGAAAAAGAAAATCAAAGCATTCAGTGAGAGTTCTTCTTTCTTCCAGCTTTCTCTTACGCTGTATCATTCTATTTCACCTTAGGAGGATCACCAAGTCTGAGCTCAAGGTCCAAGTCCTCCATGGAGCTAATCTTGAGCCCAATTTGAACATCTGATTTCAGAGGATAGCCACCAGTGGATGAACACGGATTAAGAACAGTTAGCCAAGATGATTCTGTTGTTTTCGGCCTTTTGAGACTAATTGCTTCATCGCCGCAAGAACTGATGGCTGCTGGACGGCGGCCGAAGTTAGAACTCAACCCCACAGATAAATCGGTCACGCTGGACGAACCATCAAAACACTCATATTCGTCCTCCCTTAAAATTTTTTGCATCTCGAGCCGGTTCTTGTCGGACGAGCAATGAACCTTCATGGTCTTGGGATCAAAAAGAACCTTTTGCCCTTCCTTGACAAGGACAGAATAATAAGGAGAATAGACCAACTCTTCAGTAAGAGGTAGTTTTTTGTCGGATGATGATAAACCTAAAACCCTAGCTGAAAGGGATGGTGTGAAATAGTTGCTAGGGTTTGAATTGAGGTCATTTTTGTGATCCAAACATGAAACAGCTTCGGACTGGAGCTGATAGGGACGAAGGGTACTAGAAAGACCAGGGTTCCGATTCTGGCTCGGGATTTCGTCGCTTTGATTGCTGAGAGGCGACTGTTTGAGCCTCGCCCTATCCCTCCGGTGCACATTCATGTGGCCTCCTAAAGCTTGAGCAGACCTGAACTCCCTATTGCAGAAGCTACATGAATAAGACCTCGGAGGCCACACGCACCCGAAATCCTCGGCAAAAGCCTTCTCCTCCCATGAATCGTTGCCGATCGGTGTCATTGCCTGCCCATAGTGCGACTTGAGAAGTTGTTGAATCCCCGTGGTCGACATCGAACACTGAGCTTGCTTCATCAATCGGCGGATCACAAGGAGAAGAGAAGAACAGACTATCAAAGAGAGCTGTGTAATCCCGGTGCAAGAGTCTAGAGACGACTCAGTTAAATATAGAGATGATCAATAAAGGAGAGGGAGTTTATTGTTTGTCTGTGATCATATTGAATGCCACGAAAGCTACCCTCTCTCTCTCTCTCTCTCTGGGGAGAGAATCTGTTAAGAGAAAAGGCTGAGATGCAAAAGTCTTCTTACTAGCTTTGCGGTGTGAAATTGCTAGTTTGGCTTTTGCAGCGAAGCTATGTCTGTTGGATTTTTTTGGTCATTTTGGCTATACCGTCATTGTTATATGCATGATTTAGGCAATTTGCTGAAAAGGGGGGTCCCATTCGGAGCAACTGTCATGCACATGCATTTGATCCACATGCTCGGGGAACGAACCGTCCAATCAATCATCTGCGCCTAAAACATGTAATCATCCGATAACTGTCATTCTTGGACTTAATTATAGTTTAATTAAGTTTCCGTGGGTGATTAGTAGATGGGGTTACTTAGAAGACTCAACAAGCTGCTTTGAACTTGGGGGCGATTGCTAAATTATTATTTTAGGTGGGGGAGGTAGACCCCTTAGTCAAGATCTTGCACGGGACAAATCGAGGACTTGGGCATTATATTGGATTTAAATCTGAAATCTTGACATAAAGTATCAAACACACAACAGGTTTTTCTTTAATTCCCAGCCGATTAAAGAAAACAAAATTAAAGCACTTCTAATTCTTGGGGTTTTGTGTTCTGACCGAAAAAAATTAGGGTTTTGTTTTAGATCATGAACCACGGTTGGTACAGTAATTAAGGTTGTTAACTGTTATATATTGTTTCAATTATCGGTATACATACACGATTATACTATTGTGGTACAGGGAAACCCATTCTAGCATAAAAATGAACAGTATAATGTAATTACTAGTGTTTGTGTGTGCATAATTTAAGGCCTAATTTTGACAACCTAATGATTGGGAGGCATTATCAAAGCACAAGGGCTATATCTGATTGTTCGGGAAAATTGCCAAAAAAGTTCTAAACCTATTGTAATTGTGCTAATTTAGTTCCAAGCCTTTTTTTTTTGGGCTAATCGAGTCACAAACTTTTTTGCATTTGTGCTAATTCAGTCTATCTAGCCAATTTTGGCTGGAAATCACTAACATTGACGCCGACCGTTCTACATGGTGTGGTCGGGTGTTGACATGGACAATTTGTAATAATATTTTAATATTTTTTAGAATTATTTATTAATTTATTCTTTTTTTTCCTTTTTTTCTCTTTCTTTTTTTTTTCTTCCCTTCTTCCTCTTGTTGCTCGCTGAGGTTTGGCAACTGGCTAAAGGCAAGGGCCAGCGAGGTTGACCTCATCGGCCCTTGGCAAGGCTCGACGTCGTCGTGGGCGAGCTTGACCTTGCCCAGTAACGACAAGGTCGAGCCTTACCCTTGCTAGTGGTAGGTGAGGCCTCGCCTCTGGTCTGGCAACCGGCTAGAGGAAGAAGGAAAGAAAAAAAAATGAAAAAGAAAGAAAAGAAAAAAAGGAAAAAAACAAAATAAATAAAAATTATTATTAAAAATTGTCCAAGTTAGCACTGGCCACGCCATGTAGGATGGACCGAATTGGCACAAATACAAAATATTTAGGATTCAATTGGCCCAAAAAAAGAAGAAATTTTAGAATTGAATTGACACAATTGCAATAAGTTTAAGATTTTTTTGGTATTTCTCCCTTGGTCGTTCCTAAAAGTATGAGATCTAAAATCCAAGTTTGATTTAGAGGGTTATACACGTATGCTTCAAGTGTTAATAATTGATGATGATTCAGCAGTTCTCGACAAAGTTTGAATGTAAATTTTGATAACAGGATTTATACTGTCACTAGATAATAATCCAAGGACTACAATTTTAACCGAATAATAAAAAAGGACCAAACTTGAAATCACTTAGGCTTCTTACACTTTTATCAACGGTTAGTTTGGATGTATGTATTTGGCTATGAATTTTGCAATAATTAACTTCTATTTTAGTGCAATTCCAGTCTTTTCGATCGAGGCATTTGATCCATGTCCACCCTTCTTGGTGTGAATTCAAGTTAGTGCATTGCTAACAAATTAAATTTACCGGAAAAGATCCATTACCATCTTCATTAATTCCAAGGTCCATTGATAATTAACTTACCTCCTCTACATGGATATCATATCGGTCTCTCATAAATCCAATTTCTTATAACTAACCACACACGAAATCCTCATTGATAATAACCCCCCAACACCCCCCCCCCCCCCTCTCTCTCTCTCAAATTATTTCCACTGGAAGCTTCTGCAATGCACGAAATCACGAGAGAAGGTACTAGAAATTATATAGAGACAGCGTTACTTTGCTGTCGAGATGAAAAATGTTGATGGTTTGAAGACTTGATTAGTTTAATTATCTCTTAATAATTTATTGGAGCTCAATAAATTGTGTGAACTATTTAAACGATTTCTTCAGACGGTCATCTTCTTGATGTCACGCTTGAAGATGAACATTCCAATTGACTTGTATGGAGCATGTACAGTTAATTTGACAGTCCAATTGTTATATATTCAAAGGGTTTGGTTTTTTTTTTTTTTTGCAAATCAAGAGTTTTAGCTTGCCAAAATTTAGCGCAAGCCCACACATATATACATGTATAGATATATTTTAATAAATATTTCTTCCTCAAGGCTTGAAGCATATTTTCTCTCGCTTGCCAAACACAGAGAACTGAAGATGATGATGAGACAGGTTCTTAGTCATCCTTTTGTTGTTCATTTACCAACATTAAACTATTCATACGTTCACATTCAGCATAATTTACTAAGAAAACATGACATAAGCGCTGACTAAACTCAAACTTGCTCGACCCGCATGATCATGGTGGTTCAGCACCCGAATGGAATCATCTGATGAGAAGCCTCTAAAGCAACTTGCAAAGAAAATGATTCCCTTTTTCATTAATTGACAGAAACCCTGGAATTCCAAGAACTAATTTTTTATAAATCGCATGGTTCAAACAGCATAAAGGATAAGAAAGATCGACCACGTGATTTACTTTTTTGCATGTTTGAATCTCTAACCACCATAGGCTAAATTCTTTTATAGTTAATTAAATATTGCTAAGTTTTGTCTCATAACAGATGGATATATTCCACCTAAAATGTCTCTATTATCAACTAGTGGAAGAAGGAAAACATATTAATTGGGACATAATGGCTCCCCCCCCTGAATTCTATGACTTGAGCACAAAGCAACAAGGAAATGACCATTTAAAATGACCCTTTGGAAATATGTGATTTAAGAATTTCTTAAAAAACTATTTGTTGAATATGACATTGATTGAAGTGCTTTTGTCAAATTATTGGACAAACTTCTATCGGTTTGATTGGGTTTCTATACGACGGGTAGGGAAAAATCATTCGACCAATCCTAAACTTATTGTACGAATGTCAATTCAGTCCTAAATTTCTCCATTTTGTCAATTTAGTTCTAAACCTTTCCGCAAAATTTTAATATAGTCATTCCGATCAATTTTTATGAGAAATTGCTAACATTACGGTCTAGTCATCCGTACAATAGGTTTATAATTGATTGGACAATTTTCATTGATGGGTCGTGTTCTAAACTCAGATTGTAGACGCATCAACAGTCAACTTTGTGTATCGGAGAAGATACACGAGATCTAGATGCATGCAATTGTAGGTTTTTCTCTCTTTTTTGGTGTTTATTTTTTCTACGATGATTATGTGTACGAACTATTTTATCGTGAAGGAGCTCAAAATGTCAATAGCTACATTACGCCTAGTATTGTAAAGGGTGTCGCACAGATCAATATTCTAGACGAATCATGTACGGATAAGATACCATTTGGAATTGTGGAGAAACATTCAAAATACGCGTATGCCCTCCCTACGAAAATAGGTATTGTTTGTTTATTCATCAAAGGGTCCTACTCCACATTAATACGGAATTTCGAGAGACCGTGTTCTAATATAGATGATAAACCACATCATTGATTGACGAATAATTTAAGCATATATCACAAGCGGTCTTATCTCCTATTGATCCAATCTCTTGCTCATTGTATAATTTAGGGTGATTGAGGCCGCTTGTGGGAAATTTCTTTTAAACTGATGGTGTATTCTATAAGTACTCTTTTGTCCAAGAGAATTAGAAGTAGCGTAGGGTAAAGGAATACTGTCTATGTTTTAACCCATTTTTGTTGCTCCCCTTATTAACTCGTTTCAGTTCCATGTGTAGTTGAATTTAATAGTGAATAGGGTCTTTCCTTGTCGTTCGATCGTTCGTCACATTTAACATAAAATTGGATAATGAGACATGACATTCTAAATTCATTTACTGAGTTGATCATGCGAATGGTCAGGAAGTTATCTCCTTCAGGCAGTATTTTTCATTTTCCAAGAGTGCGAGAGAATGGAATTATAGTAGAAATTTTAATAAGATAATGTGACACTATTACCGAAATTAGAGATAAAAACAAATGGTACATACGAACGGTCGAAAAAGAAATGCTTAACTACTTGAATAGAACCCCGACAGTTGGTGCATTTGGCTAGAGTGTTGACGAAATTTAAGCTCAGAGATTGGAGATCGCCCATTCGAATCCCACCAACTACTTGCAAACTGCTCAAGATCAAGGCCATTTGCACGAGCCAAATGCTTCTTATTAATTGGTTCATGGGGTTAATAGAGCGTCCCATGGCCTTTGGGTAGCCGGGTCTATATGCCCGTGCTCCGGATAAAAAACCGAATGGATGGATATCTCAAGCTAGACATAGCGTTATGGTGCCAAAGAGAAGAAAACCATGTAGTCACTGCCGTTGTCATGCCAAGTGAACGTCAACGTGAGCTCATCCAACGTGTATGTATATATAGGATTGGCTCAAATAACAGCAGGACTTTATTTGGTGTGGACTATCTAGT